CCCCCCCCCGGCCCCTGCCCCGGGCCCGGCGGGCAGCCGGCCAGGCAGAGGGCGAGCAGCGGGCGAGCTCCGCGCTCCATCCCGCCACGCTCCCGGGCAGGTCCTGGGGGACACGGGAGGGGGGTGGACCGTGCCACCTGCAAGCACCGGGGTGACGTCAGGGCTGGGACAGGGCGGGGGGGCACGGCCCCCCCCAGGGACCGACGGGCTCGGTGGAGCGAGCCCTGTGGTGGGGGGTAACGGAGAGTGACCCCCGAGGGGCCCCGGCTGGGAGCTGGCAGGGGGGTGGGAGAGGGTTTGGGGGACAGGACCGTGGTGATGAGGACCACGCGGTGGGCTGGAGGAGGCAGGGACAAGGTTACTGCCCACTGTGTTGTCTGGAGCTTCTGCCGGCAGCTTCGCTCCCAACCGGCAGCTTTGTGCACCGGAAAGCACCGTCTGGAAGTGCCTCTGGCCCCGAGGGGCTGCGGGGAAGGGGGGGATCGCTCGCCGCAATCCTGGCCCGGAGCAAACTGGAAAAGGAAACCTCAGGACTGAAAGGGAGACGTTGGGGCACTGAAGCCCACCGAGGCCGTGGCAGTGGCAAGAGCCGAGGGCAGATGCTGTGGAGCGCTGCGCACAGTAAGGGATGTCCCGTTCTGCGGTAGCAGTTAAAGAGCAAAGAAAGGGAAGACAAAGACTATTCCCGTTTGGCGAGAACAGAACCCCAGGAGGTTAAGGGATGTGACCCAGGAGACAAAGCAGCAAGTGGCAGAGCATCTCCCCAGCTCCAGCCCTGCGGGAGGCCCCCGACTCCCACTCTCCTGGCAGCTCCCTGGCGCCCTTCCCACGCCGGTGCCCGGCGGCAGATGCCAAGCAGTGCGCCGATCGCTTTTACGGCTGGAGGTTTTGTTTCCAGGCAGTGAATTATTCATCCCCAGCCCGACATCCCGGCCGCGCTTGCTCCTCCGCCCAGGGCAGCAGCTGGGTTTGCAGAGAGGCAATTACGATAATGGAAGGAGGCGAAGCCGGAGCACCCTGGCTCCCTGCGCGGTAGAGCTGGTGTCATGTTTAACGTGCGGCAATGCCAACGTGGCAGGACGGCCGCCCCCCATGAGCGAGCAGAGACAAATCGCTGGTGCTTTTATGGCATTTCATGGCCGAGAAGTTCCAGAAGAGACCACCAGGCACAGCCCCACCTTGGGTCTGGATTTGAGCCCAGCCAAGGACATGCACCTCTGCTTTCATTAACCCCTTTTCCAGCACACACACACACGCACACACACTTTTCAGCCTCAAACAAGCCTGTCCTGTACTGAGTGGAAAAGCTCTTCCCTCCATTTGCTGTGAAGCAGTAACCTGGCCCATCCCTCAGCTCTTTCCCCAAATCCCCCTTCCAAGAGAGGACATTTTTACCCCTCTTTTCCCCCACTCAGTGCCATCGCTGGCTGCACAGCCTCCTCCCAGGTCCCAGGAGGACGCACCCCACCAGCCCGCAGCTCCCCCCCATCCTCCTCGAGACAGGGGTGACTCTCTTCTGAAGGAACCTCCCCTGATCCCCACCACCTCTCAAAGGTACCGGAGCAGCCTTGCAGCTCCTCTGCGTTGCGGGGCGCACCCTGTCAGGTCCCACAGACCTGGAACCGCCCCGTCCAAGCGGTCCCCGGCCTCACCCCTCTCCACCAGGGCAAGTCTTCCTCGCCCGGACCTTCTCCACTGGTCTCGGGGACCCGATGCTACTGAAGGCCAGTCCTGCCAGCAAAGACCAAGATGAAGACAACACCCAGTACCTTTTCCATGTCCTTTGTGACCAAGTTCCCGTTCCCATTCCACACTGAGCCACCTCTTCCCTCGTAGATCAGCGCTGATGTACCTGTAAACGCCTTTCCTGTCCTCCTCACGTCCCTCAACAGATCCAGCTCTGGGGACAGCTCGGCTTCCCCACGTTGCTCCTGTGCCACCACCTGAGCCAGCCCGTGCCACCCACGCGGGACACATGCCTGTGAAACTGAAATCTTACTTAAAAAGCAAAGGAAACCGTGGGAATACTATAAACATTTTATTTATTGTTTTCAAAAAGACAGGAAAATAATCTAGATCATTTCTTTATATTTTTTTTTTTTTTAATAAAAACCTTTGTATAATCCTCATGCATAAAGACCTTCAGTGAGCCAACGCAGAGCAGCGCCAGGCGGGCTGGAAGCCGTTGGCCACTGCGAGGGGTGGCTGGCTGGCTGTGGCAGGAGGCGCCGCCGCAGTAACCCTGAAATCAGAGCAGACCCCCGGACGGCTCCTTTCCTTCTTCCAAAAAATAGTCTGTTTCTAAACACAGTAGGAGTAAAGACTGCACACACCAGAGCACATGGACACAGTCAGCGGTTCGCTTGCGGGATGTTCGTAGGCTGGATGGCGGCTCCGCTGGGTGTAACTCAGCGATGCAGCAAAGACGGGGAGGAGGGCGCGCACCCGGCGTCGGAGGGGCGGCCCCGGCACTCGCTGCCCACAGGCGCGGTGGCCGAGAGGCAGCCAGGCTGCTCCGCTCCCCGGGCAGGTGACCTCTTTTGGCAGGTTGGCTTTGGGCGCAGAATTTGCCCCCTCCCATCCGAAGCCTGGAGTCCAGGAACACGGCAACTATCAGGACAAGCTCCTGGGTTTTCCTGCAGGCGGGGCCCAGGAGATGTCCGACCTCAGGGCGCAGAGCTGCCCCACACGGGTGTCACCTCCCCTTCTGCCGAGGCAGGAAAGTAGCTTGCTTTGATTTTGGAGACGGAGGATGGAGAAATGAGAGAAACTACACGTTCGCAGGTCTCCAAATCAGCAAGAGAACGCAGGAGAAGACACTTCTGAACTTAAGTTTCTTCTCCCCACCACCCCACCCCACCCCCAGAGCAAACTTTTAATACCAAGCCCCAGTTAAAGCTCATCCGCAGTCAGTTCAGGTGCCAACGGATCATCGGTTCACCGAGTGCAGCCTCACCCAAGCGGGAGTCTGCCCACAGAAAACTGTCCCAGAACTTGTTTCACCGTCCTCTGCGCTGCAACGAAAGGAGTGAGAAGGATGCGCCAGGAGACGAAGCCCCCCCCGTGCCCCCGCCACAGGCAGAGTCTCACCTGCAGACAGGTTCGGCAAGAGGTGCTTTATTGACTGAAGGAGAATGTTGTGTGGCTGAGGGTGCCAGCCAGCAGGGTCCAACCAGTCTCAACGCTCCCTCGGGTTACACAGACTCCTGCGTTAGCCCACATACTAAAGCTGTTTTACACCTCTAGGGAGAAACCTGCGTGGCTGGAGAGGTTGTTCACCCTCAGAACAAGGGTAAGGGGTAACAAACTGGTAACAAACTGTCCGACAGGTAGAAGGGATTCTTCCTCAGTGAGTCACCACTGTCAGCTCCCGGAGGTAAGACTGGGTGAGGCTGCGGAGCTCCTCCAAGGCATAGTCCTCCGGCATAGGCAGCCGGCCGATGTGAGGAGCGAGCAGGCGAAGAGGGACGCGCTGCAGGTCAGGCGTGGAGTCGGAGACGGGCTCTGGGGCGTGCTGCAGGCTGAGGACCACCCGCAGCAGGTTAGTGATGCGCTTGGCCATATCTGGAAAGAGGAGGAAGAGGAGTGTTTCCGCATGCTCCACACCACGCGCCGGAGCGGGAGCTTGCATGCGAGCACTGCGGAGCTCTCCCTGTGGAGGGGTGAACTTCAAAAGCGACTCAACAGGGAATGTTGGCGTAAAGGCTTTTGGCGGGGCTGGTGGAACCATGCCCCGTGTGACCTGGCCTCTCCTCAGCTCCAGCAGGAAATCTCCTCTCTCCATACAGACTTCCTCCCTGAGTCTAATCAAAATTTATCCTAATTCCTTAGACCAGACTGGTTTCTGTAGGTATGCTCATGCTTTATTTGGCACTGTAAAACTAAGTATGGACCAGACGCTTCACTGCTTATTGTAAGAGACCAGACACTGGATGCCACATCCAGCAGGCAACAAAAACTGCCTGAAACCATGACCAACGTACAGTGACTACTGGAGCACCACACGGCTCACCTCGCCAACCCCAGCCTTCCTCTTCAGCACACCGGCAGCCCGTACTGGCTGGGTGGGTTGTAAAACCGCCTTTCCCAGTGGGCTGCCAGATACTGCTGTCCCCGTACCTGACTGAGCCAGGCGGTCCTTCGCGTTGTGGCACTGGATCTGCTCTATCCTGTTGCACAGCGACGTCACTTTGGTATGTAACCGCTCCAGCTCATAGGTGGAACAATCCAGCTGAAAGCAAACAAGAGAGTCGGCCTCTGAGTCATCCAACGCCTTTCCGCAGAATCGCTCGCAGACTGCCCGAGTGTACTCCAAGCCAAATCCACCCAGCAGCAGACAACTACGCTAAAACCTGTTTGATGTTAACACCCGAAGTGGGTCTGGAACTGAATTTGAGAGGACTGACATGCAGATTCCCCACTAACTAGCTAACTGCTAGTTCTGCTCCTTATCTTTCCCTTGTCTCACTGCCACTCTCCCTAGAGCGTGTTTGCAGGGCAGAGCCCACATCTTACTTTGACAACATCTATCAAATCTCTCTGTGTTTCCAGAGATACACCATATTCTGTTTGCTAGTGTCTGCCAAAGGGAAACCCTAACATTAGTCCTGAACAGTAAAAGGATATTCTAAAAGCGAGACTCTGTATCAGCTTCCAAACTCCGGGGCGCAAAAACAACCCCAATTTTTTTTAGTCTGTTACCTGTTGAATCCTATCGAGCATCTCAATAACACGGATGTAATCGAGGTAGACCAGCCCTGCCATCTCCCAGTCCTGGATGAGCGCACTACGCTCTGGAGGGGCAAGATCTTCCAGGAATCCTTTCAGGTACTTGTAGTTTTCATTAATGATAGCATCTAAAGAGAACACACACATTAGTGACAGAACAAAAAGGTTTCTTACAAGTCAGGAACATTAATTGTTAAAGAAAAAGCAACTAATGGACTGTACTCTGAGCGAGTTTGGCAATTCCTTGACACCATCAGCCATGGCCAGAAACGCTTACTTGATTTATGACCTACAAAAGGCAAGTCTAAGGCCATCCCACTTCCCAGAGCAGAGACACCCATAGGATCGGGGCTCCAGGAACGCTACCGCTGCCCTCCTTCCCTGCGGCACCTCTTGGCACAGGAAGGAGGATGTGCAGAAGGTGAAGCGCTGCCCTTCTCACGAGGTGTTTGCAGTGAATCATCATCACACCGGGTTTCGTGAGAGCTATTTTGAAAGAGCCAGGCGCTCTCTAACCCTGTTGCTAGAAACACAGCCCTGCCCCTTCACATTACTGAACACCCACTGACTTCTGTTCCTACAACGTTTGTGTGTGCTGTTCAAAAGACAGAAGGAAAAAAACCAAACTCAGGAGAGCAGACTCACCTGAGGCTAAGTGCCTGACAACCAGCTTGTGACACTGGTTCCAGTGCCCAGCCTTGAACAAGAAGAGGGCTTCTTTATGCTTGTCGCCCTCCATCCTCGCTCGAACTGCCTTTGCTTCATGAATCCACTCCGGGGGGACGCAGAGCCTCTGCGTCAGAAAAGTCTCCTTGGCCCAAGACTCTGGTGTCTCGGAGAGAGCGCAATGCCGATTTAAGAGTTCACGCACTGCCTTCTCCCGTATGCTGGGGGAAGGAGGACAAGGCGTTATTCCAACCAGCAATCCGTCATCCCACGCCACCAGAAGATACACTTCAATACCAGTAGTGAGGACTGAAGGAGGCAGCAGCAAACTGCTTTATACTCATTGGTGACGGCAGAGGCACAGGCGTAACAGACGGCGAAAGCCGGTCTCGCCGGGCCTCGGGCTGTCTTACTGAAGGGTACTAAGATCAGTTGAATTCCTTCAGTACAAATTAACCACTAAGAAAGAAGTCATCGCTAGTGTTTTGTAACATCTTAACCGTTGTAAGCTTCAAAATACTTAAGTATGACCCAGGCCCCTAAAAGTAACACTTGAAGTCAGCAGTTGGAAAAAAATTCTACGGCAATGTACTAATGAGAGCTGTAAACACTAACAGCAAGAGACACCTTTCCAGAAAAGATATCTTATTTACAGGTTTAAGACCATTTTTTGTTAAGTACATATTTCATGATAGAAGCAAAACGTGCGTTTTGGTGATCCCCAAGCTTTGCTTTCAAACACACTTGCTTCTGTTCAGCTCCAATGGGAACAGTAACACTATTTTGCATCGATGATGTTTTCAGGACAAGGTCTTGAACACAGTAAGCTCGCTGAGCCACAGACAAGATACAGAGCCCTGGGAGAGCAAAACGACTACGAGATCCGCTTCTGTAGCACAGCTCAGGAGTTGCGGTCATTATAACACAGTGCTATTTATCATCTAACACCACACTTCACTAAGCAGAATTATCCACGCCCCTTTGTGATCCCAGCACACAGCTTTTACAAGTGGCACAAAGTCCTCCAGCTGTGCAGTTCCAGTTTAACATGACAGAAGCCACGATAATTATGGTATACATAGCAGGTCCTTAAAACAGACACTTTTTTGGGGAGGCCTTGAAAATGCATTAAATCTTTAACTCACTGCGTATCGGGCTCATGCAGGAGTACAAAAACAGCCCATTCCCAAAGACCCTCGCTTTCCAGCTGGGCAGCGTAGCTAGCGTTCAGCACTCCTTGACTCTGCTTGAACAGATGGGTATAGTTCAGGGCTCGGAGCACTTCCCACAGGTGCCAACTGAGACGATAGTCCAGAGGGTCAGACGTTACACTCCTGGGATCAAGCAGCTGGTCGAGATCATAGTGCCTGCAGGGTAAAACATTTGCAAAATAAATAGCTAGTTGTGTCCACATAAAGTCAGAAATCGGTGCTACTGAGTTCCTTCCCTTCACCCACCTCCAATTATTCCATGTATGTGATTTATGTGGGTGTGGGGTTTTGGTTTTGGTGGTGGTTTGGTTTTTGTGGGGTTTTTTTTGGGGGGGATGGTTTTGTGGTTTTTTTTTTTAAAGATCAGAGCAATTACTAAATTTTTCTTTTGCTCTTTTGAGTCTGCACCCGGACTGTCACAACCTTTTCTTCTATACATGCTCCTTCTGCAGACTTCTCAAAGCCTTTAAGAAAAGGCAGCTGTGGTGAAGCAAGATGACTACACTCTTCAGACACAGAAAACACGTAAGAAAAAAAACCCACAAAGGTGCTCCAAAGCTTAAGTTTCCCCATCTATACCACCAGCAGTGAGAGCATCACCGCGTTCTGTAAGGGTGTACATGCAAGGCAGGTTTTTGACTACTCTAAGTGGTTCCGTAAACACTGAAGCTGATTTCACACCCCTGGTTTGGGAGGTCAAGAAGTCACTGACTGATCAAGATTTTTCTAAACAGATTTTGAACTATTTACCCATTTACCTGTCACTGTAGAGCTTTAGCAAATGGAAACAGACATCTCTCAGAGGTCTTCCTGCATTATCGTCTTCTTCAATTACACAACCAGAATCTTCTAGGTATGGAGGCAGAGGACAGCAGGCGTATTTTTCACACTCTGGTGTGTTCTAAAGAAATAGTTTTAACAGTAAGTTTCAAGATAATTCTCTGAACAAAACTGCACTCTGAACTCCACACAGCTCAGCAGGCTCGCGGGCATGCTTTCTGCTTCACGGCAGGACGTGCAACCGACTGCACCTGCAGTGAGCACTGACACAGCAACTATATACTGACATGACACTAAACCAAACTAAACCCAAAAGGCTTTGGCAGGCTTCATTTCATCTCACACCGAGCTCTTAAAAGCCACTGTGTGTAGGTACAGTCGACTCTCACATACACACAACCTGTACTCCTGGATGATTATATAGCTGGAAAAACCACGTGTGATTTGATCAACCGAAGGACGGTGCATCCCCGCAAGCCTTCTCTCCCTCTGCAGAGCCTACACGAGCAGCACTGAATGCACTGAGTCAACAAGAACTGTTTTACGGGGCACTCAGCTGTGGGACAACTGTTGTCTTTCATACCCCCTAACCAGTCTGGGTCACCAAAATCCTCTTGACATCTCCACTGCTGGTAAGAACACTACATCTGGGTTTGGAAGCACATTCCACATCCTGCTGGTTTCCAGTTATCAGCCCTCTTACACGCAGTTCTGGAAACAACAAACTGTACCAACTTTTCCTCCACTGGGCTGCAGTGAGACCACCCCCACCTGCTAACCCAGTAACATTACCTTAAGTTCAAGTCATGATAAAACTAAAACTTGGTATTTTGAAGTGATGAACACGTTATGGTGACACGCTTTGTACACAAAGATAACACTAAACATTCCTACAGCATTAAGCATGCATCAGCTAGAAATTCCTAGACGTGATGCTGTGCTTGGGCTGTCTTTAGGCATACAGATCAAGGGCTGAACTATCTTTACTTAAATGATTAAACACTTTTTTTGAACAGAACCCTTTGTCTTTCTGTATAGAGAGGCTTACAGCTCTACAGCCACAAACAAGGCTTTGCATAATGCATGCAGCCACACACTGACTGCAGGACAGCTTCCACGTTTGCTGCAGAAACAGGGAGTGTACCAAACAGGGTGTGTGGTTCAGCAACGACTATTTTAGAAGTCAGGCAGCTGAGTATTAATCATCACACTGGGAAAACCGACTGGCTACCTAACTCAAATGGCCTTCCTGCTGCTGGCCACTACCCACCTTCCTCGTTGTCGAGCTGTCAAACACTTGGGAACACTCCATCAGCAGGAGCTTTGCTTCAAATAAATCACTATCAGAACACCCCAAAGAGCAGAGCAGGTCCTAAGCTTCTCGAGTGACTAGAACTGCCAACAGGTTCAACCCCAGTGCTTTATTCCCATTCCAGCGGGGGAAGGAACATTCCTATCAAAACGAACCGCTGCAAAACCTCATCATTCAAGCTGGTGAAGGAATCCGATGCTGTGACAACTGAAATAACGAACCCATATGCCATTCCATACTCCACCTCCGCAGTGACACCTGACCGCTCACAGAAGTCTCAGTGGTACGAGGTAAGATCTCCTGTTACCCAGGCATGACTGACCTACCTGAAACGCTGACTCGTACATGGCCAGTGCCTTGGACACCGAAGCTGTTGGAGGCAGCAGGTACCAGAGGTGGACAGCCATGCAACGCTTCCAGTCCAGCAGCGAGCACACATTGATACTTATTCTCTCTGATAGCTGCCACACCTGAAGCAACAAATTACTGAATTCAGTCAAACTGATCACACAATGGTCGGTACACACCAGGCATGCAACAGTAAGGCATCTGAAAGGAATCTGTGGGACAGAGCACAAAGCTCGCCCAAAGAATAACAAGGCTGCCCCTTCAAGCAGAGAAAAGAAACCACCAAGGACTCTCAGGACCACCGCTAAGGAAGACAGTCCACAGGGGGTTAATGAAATCATTTTCATGGGCATAAATCGCATGAATATGTAAAGCTTACAATGTAAAAAGTAGGGTCTAGCTGGAAGCTGTGGTATGCACGTTGGGTGGAGTGATCCCCCGTGCATCCAGCGCTGCAATAAAGAGAATGCCTGCTGCTTAATACTACACTGGTGTTCAGGAGTTTAGTCCCAATTTCGATGACATTGTGGCTGTTCCACTTTACATGGAATATATAAACAACCATTTTTCAGGTCAAAAAACAAGCAAAAGAGACGAAATGCATACTGGTATGGATTAGTAATTAGAGTACTTATCTAGGATGGGGAGGATAGCGATGCCCACCCCTCCTACAGCAAATATTTAGATATTTTCTCCTCGGCAGTCATTGGAATCATATTTACTCACATCTTTAAAAGAACAGGAGGAACTAAAAAGAATCAATCTCTGAAGAAAATTATAAGTGCATTAATCCCAATAAAAAGTCTGCCAGCATTTACAGATTTTACCAAAACTCTCTCAACCATGTTTTCTCCAAACACAAACTCAGAATTGCTGCTGTTTTGTACACTTCTGTCTTCAAACAACTGACTTCCATGGGAACAAAATAACATAAGAACGTGCTTTAGAACTATTTAAAACTTTGTAAAGAATAGAATAGAAATAAGTTAAAGCATTTACTTTACCACAGCTTACATTAAAGACAAACAAACAATGACGTAAGAGGTTACGTTAGTAAGAAAACCACGTCAGCACCTTGTGCTCCTTTCTTGCTGTGCACCACATGCTGTGGTTGAGTGCTACGGCTTAAGCGTACGACTGTAAAGAAGGAGAAGTCAAGTCGATGGCAAAACAGCCGAGTAACACAACTTACTGGCTTTCCTGCGAGCAGGGCAAAGATCCGCAACCTCTCTTCCTGGATGAAGCAGTCCGCCTGCAGCCTGTGCCAGTCCACCAGCTGCATGGTGAGGAGGTCCCGAAGGGGCTGGCTGCCGGCCAGCTGGGAGAGGAGCAGAGCGAGCCTGTGGTCACCTGGAACCGGAGCCAACAGCACGTCAGGCAAATCCTCCCACCTACCCGGGCCACGGCGATCTGCTTCCGAGTTGTGGGGCACTTTGATCAGCCTACAGCCGCGCAATTGGGTTTCGTGCACAATTTCTTATGAAATAAACCGCTCCGTAAACACCCACCTGAAGGGGTGGGGGAGAAGACAAAGGAACGGGAAAGACAGACTCCGCCCAGGGGAGGCAGGACAGACTCCCCACAGAGGGAAGCAAATGAATGGAACAGTTTTAAGATTTGAGCTGACATAAAAGACCAAGATGAAACTAGCCATTAGGCTCTGAAAGTATGTTTTTGAAACAAATGTAAAGCGCTTAACAGAAGCTCAATTAAAAATAACAGCAATTAAAAAACCTTTCAAAGGAGATAGTTTGCAAAAAAAAAACCCAGTTCCAAGTGCAATACGGCATCACTTCCTAACTGCAGGAGAGCCGACAAGTAAGCCAGCGGAAATACAACCAGGCACTCATGCAGCAAGTAAACAAGCCAGCCCCCACCTTGATCACTGTCTGACATGGGAAATCTCTGTACTCAGAGAGGCCAGTTACTATCAGCTCTCAAGTTTAAATTCTCTTTATGCGTCTCCCTTCCTCTTCCCCGCAAAAAGCCGAGAGATTTAAGCATCTTACCTGACTGCTGTGCCAGCCTGCAAGCTTCACCGATTCTCTTCCCAGTAAGGCAGCTGAACACAGCCTCTACGTGATTACCATGTCGGGACAGAGAGACTTCCTCCTCAATTCGTCCTGCAGCAGTCTCCGACAGCCAGCGAGAGAAGGCTTTCCTGCGCTCCAGGGCTAGGATGTATTCACTGGGTTCCTCCAAGCTGGCCTCTAACTCCTTTAAGTTCCCCCAAATCGCTTCACATAAAGTCCACGTCAAGCCCCAGTGCTTCACAACAGCTGCCAGGACACAGTTATTCAGTCATAAGGAATAAAAAAAAATGCCAACGAATATTTAGAGAGGACTCATATAAGACTATAAAGCATAACCTCGTAAGGTACCTTAAAAGATATCCTGCTGTTACAAGTCAATGCAGGAAGTCAGCCAGCTCCCCAAATGCGATCAACCATCTTTACGCTTTCAGAAAGAAGGCTGAGGTACAGTCAATTTTTTGTTTTATTGACATTTCCCTGCTCTGATGCAACCTGAAAAATCAATCTGAACTGGACAGTTTTCCAGAGTCGCTATCACCACTGTGAAAAGAATTATTCCATACTCACTTTCTGTCACAGCAGGATCCTCGGATGCCTTCCTAACCCAGTCAGCGTAGTCGTGAATAGCAGAAACTCCTGAGTTGGGCGCTAGAAGAGGACATTGTTCATCCATATGGACAGTGCTGTGTTTCAGCTTTATCTCCAGAGGGATGAGATACAGCTGTTTGTCTCTGTCCATCTTCCGTTGTTCTAAGCTCAGCTTCTCCACGTGAACCTTGAAAGAGGATTCTGAGAGTCTGAAGGAAAAAGGAAGATAAAAACAGGTAGCAAAGTTCTGAAGTGTTTCCAAGTGAACTGCACCCATCACAGAGCGGCTGCACTGTGCAGCTTGTCCCAATTTTAACATTAAGACAGTAAGACATGTGATCCAAGAACCAGACTCTGGCAAACAAACCTCACTGAGCTGGGCGCTTCCAGCTCCCCAAAGGCAACTACCACACCTCACCATACCCCAGCACATTTTGCGAGAGCACCTCCTTCTGCCAGCGAATCAGACACGCTGGAGAACATCAACCGAACAAGCTTTTTGGAAGACTTAAATGGTAGAACGTGTAGCTATATTCCAGTCGAGTTTAGGCATGGAGTTACACAGCCCAGGAAAGGTCTGTACACTGCTTTATATACAAGCAGAATTAAAGGGACCTGAATTTAAAAGCTAAACAAGAAATTTCTTTGGTAGTGCAGACACCCTCTGGGAGAATCAACAGCAGCTTAGAAGCTTCCTGGACAACAATTTTGAACTTTTTCTTTAACCTTTCGCTGGATGATGGTGCTGTTTACTTGTTAAAAAAATAACTACTCTTACTATGACATTGCAGGTCTTTGAGATAAAGATTTTTGTAAAGTAGCAACCTGAAGGAAATCTCCACAGCTAATGTGATCTTGCACCACTTCTGCATACCAGAAGGAATATTAAGCTGATTTTCAAAAAGGTACCAGCCTACAATCAAGATTCTTCCAAACATGAAGAAAGAGTATGTCGGAACCATCCCGAAGAGAACTACTACTCACGATTTTGGAGCAACAGGAGTTGGCAGGAATCCATACTCCACAGACTCACACTGAAGCTCTTCCATTTCACTTGATACACTCAACTGATCTCCACAATTGACAAGCGTCCAGTTGGGTCCCCAACCAACACGAAATGAGCGCCCCATGAAGAGTGCCATATCCATCAGTAGCTTCCCTTTTCTGTAGGTGATGGACTTCTCCAGCGGTACCAGCCCCTGCTGCCTGCGGACACCAACTGTTTTCATCTGTACCTCAGGGACTGACGGTGGTACAGAGAACGCAGACGCTAATGGAGAAGTCGCCGACCAAAGGGCAACAGACGGGGGACTGCTCGAAGTCCTGGGGCCCTTGAGATCTTGCAGAGCAGCACTTGGTGGTTGGAAAATTACGTTAGCAAATTTTGACTGCAGCAGCCCGCCAACTAGAGGGAAGAAGCAGGAAGAACGTTGAAGGGAATGGGGTACTCTCTTTTCAGGTACGTTTCTGGTGTTTTAAAGGTATTTCAGTTCTTGAGCCAGCGAAAACATTTGCCATGTTTGAGGTTTGTGACGGTAACGCATAGCTAGGCATGATTATTTGCGGTACCGAGAAGTGCAGAACGCAGCATGCACAGCCTGTTTTGCAGTATCCAAATTAAAGCGCATGGTATTACAAGAACAGTACATATGCAGTCCCAACCCAAAATCTGCAGTTTCCAAAGAAGTCACTGATTTAACAGATATTGTCATACTTAGACCATCAGAACAGAAGCATCTCACAGAGAAAGCAGACCTCAATTGCTATTAGCAGGGACAGGGCTGAAACTGTCCCCACAGAAACATCTCAGATCTGTCCCTTTAATTCAGCAACTCCATGGTTCTATCAGAGGTATTATTCCTGTTGAAACCATCAGCTAGTGGATGTATTGGGCGCAAACGGCAAGGTTTTGGTAGTGGGGGGACCACGGGGGCGGTCTGTGAGAAGCGGCCAGGGGCTGCCCTGGGCTGGACACAGCTGGTGTCCACAACGGACCCACCGCAGCTCACGGCTGAGCCCATCAAGGGAGTGTGTGGCACTTCTGAACCAATCTGCAAAGTTGGTGGCGCCTCTGTGAGGTCTTAAGGAAGGGCAGAAAAATGCCACCCAGGCAGGACGGAGGGAAAAAAGCGAGCGAAAGCAGCAGAGCAAGCACTGAGGTCAGAGGAGGAGGAGGGGAGGCAGTGCTCCAGCACTGGAGCAGGTATTCCCCCCGCAGCCTGCGGGGGAGGACTCACGCTGGAGCAGGGGAAAAAAGGGTGAGGAGGAAGGAGGGACTGGCCACAACCCCTCATTCCCCATCCCCGCTGCCCCGCGGGGGTGGGGAGGAGGTAGAGGAGTTGGGAATGAAGAAGGGAAGCTAAGCCTGGGAAAGGGGGGGCAGGGTATTAAAGTGTTGTGTCCATTTCTCTCACTACACAAACCTACTTTAACTGGCAACAAGCTAATTTTACTCAAGTCAAGACCAGGTACTGTCACAAAAAACCAATCACCCTGTCTTTATCTCAACCCGTCAGCTTTTTTCATCCGTCCTTGTTGAGAAGGGGGAGTGAGAGCGTGGCTGGGTGGGCATCTGGCCAAAGCCAACCCCACCACAACTGTTCTGCCATATGTTCAGCCAGCCACGGGATTTTGCCTGTTAACATTAGAATTAAGCTTTTTTTTTCCCCACACACAATTTGTGGCTTCTCACAATACCTGAGCATCTTTTCTGTCCTTGTGATTTTGAAATAGGGAGCCTCGGAGAACAGATCTCTTGTGAAGTATCCATCTTTGCAGGTTGCTTCCCAGGATAATGATCCAGGATCAAGTCTAGGTCATCTTCATCGGCAAGCAAGGAAGCTTTCATAATCTAAAAAGACGGTAAGTCAAGCCTGCACACGAGCAATCACTCTCACAGCAGCAGCTAGCTGATCCGATCAGCTGCTTTCCCAACCGAGATAACTTCTACACGTTTCACATGACAATACACTCATGCCACAAGTATTTCAAGTAACAGTGAAGGCACACCGTTCAGGAGAACTGAAATCAGGCTTGTCAGTTGATGATAAACCTCTACAAACCACTAGTTAAACCAGTGTCGCAGTACTTGTTAGGATAGGTGCGAAGTCCTAAAATAATCGTGTTTTCTGAGATTTTAGCTCTATCTACTTGTTTGTCAGCTTAAGTAATAATTCCACCATTTTTTCCTTACAAATTAAAAACACAGGTAGAAGCCCACAAGTGTTCCAGGTACTAGCCTTTCACCAAACAAATGAAAACACCACACCCCAAATCAAGACCAGTTACCCTATTACCTTCTTTTCCATCGGCAGGCCCTGAGGCAGTGCTGGCTAGCTGTTAGTTTAGCTTCTCATATTGCCCACGCTTCAGAATTTAGAAATCTGAATTCTAGCCTTGAGATGCTTTTCATTTCTGTGTTAAGCTTTTCACATGTACCACAGAAACACAGAAGTCTAACGTATAAGTTTTCATCACACTATCACACACAAATTTGTTTATCACAAATTTGGTATATAAATACACTCGGGGAGGCAAACAGAGACATTAGCGAGAGGTATTACCGAGTCCTCTCTTTCAGAGAGGGGAATTTGCAAGAGACTCACCTGCAAGACATGGGGGTTAATACCCAAGGTTGACGCGATGTGAGTGGAAGCAGGCACTGCCTCTGGCTCTTCTATCATGTTATCTTCCCCAATGGACTCCTGGGGAGGCTCCTGGGTGATGTCCGCCATATCGCTGTCCAGTTCCACAACCCTGCCCAGCTGCTCCACTTCTGGGGTCTGCGGACACATGCAGAGGCCACGTCAGACAACAACAGATTGCACTGGTTTGCAGAAAGAGTACGTAATAGTTTCAACAATCACCTGCAACTGAAGCGGAGTACTCCCTTGCTTGTGTCAAGACTCCACATTAAGTTTAGAGATGAACACAAGTAACCTATTCCCATTTTCTTCAGAGTTGTAACACACCAGTGCAAGTTAAAGTGAAGGAGAAGTCACGGTTTAGTGATGTCCTCCCAAAGTTTACCAAGTTCTGCCATTCGGTTTAAGAAACTATTCTTCAGCTTCCCATTCTTCATGTGGCCAACAAAAAGGAAGAGTTTTGTGCATCCTGCCTTCCTCCCCTTCTCCCTCAAAATGAAGTCACATCCAAAAAGAAGTTTCCTGTGCCTAAGTTCAGCCCGAGACATTTTAGATGACTGAGCAACCAGTTCAAAACTAGTGATTCTCCAGCATTAATGTGTGGTACCACTGCTGGCCGCTGAGCGGGTGAGTCACTGTAATACCTGCTTTGTTTCCCCAGCTGTGATGTAGCACAAATTAAAGACATTGAGTTTATGTTCCACAAAGAACTTAAAAGAAGTTTTAGGCGGACAGGAGCCCCTTCAAGACGGCGTAAGGCTGGGTCACAGAGTGTGCGTGCACACACATGTACAATCTTTTTTGAATTTTAAACCAGGACGCAACTGTCATTGGATCGGAAAGTTGTGGGGTTTTCCCATGATACTCTACTTACTGCTAGCACATTAGCGGTTAAAATGTTAACTACAGTAGTTCTCTCCCAATCTGCACCTCAATTTCTCATCTCTACTGATGGAGTCCCAGGCAGGAGGAAAAATTAGTTTTATGATTTTTCTGAGAGCAATCACATGGCATCACCTTTGTGATGAGCCTGAGGTCACCTCTACGTGCTTTTAGACGACCTGGACTCACGCTGCAGGCAGGGCCAGGAAACCTCCATCCAGTGCAAACAACGAGCAGGCATCAGAAACTAACTCTGACCGCTGCCACGGCCTCTCGTTCTGCCCAGCCTGCCGAGGCAGCAGCGAGCCCCCGCGCCGGCACCAGGGCACAGAGCCTGACAGCGCTGCGTGCCATTCCACTCTTCGTCTCCTCTGCTACCAGACAGGACAAACCCCCTGGAGAATGCCACTCGCTGCCCGTCTTGAGCAGCGAAGAGGCCCACCCAAAAGAAGCACCTTGCCCAGGAGTAATTAGCCTGTGCCACCTCAGCTGAATGGCCTTCCTGATGGGCTCTAACCCCAAACCCGGGCTGCAGCGCACTGGTTCTGCTCCAGTCTAACCACTCCTGTTGCTTAGACACCAGTGTCCTGTGAAAGATTCATGCTTACAGCTTACTTGGTTTCCAGAAGCAACAACGCGCAGACTGCCGAAGCACTGCTCTGGAGCGATGCATATATATGAGCAAGGAAACCGCGGCAGACAGCGCACTGCAAATCATGCTAAGGAATTTAAGAGCATATTCAAGTGGCTGCTTCTTAGCTCATTAGAATCAGCCAAGAAATGCGATGAAGGTTATCAGATGAGGCAGACAAAATTAGACGAGGGGTCTGTAAAGATAGAACTTAATGGCAGACATGGAAAGAGCCTTAGCTAGCGGTATCTGGGTGTGCCTACAGCATGCGGAACAGATCTACAAGTCAAAATATGGTTACAAACAAAAGTTTCACTACTCCCTTCATTGTGCTTTAATGCAGCCCGGTCCCTGGTGTAACTATTTCCTGTGGACCTTGAAACATTAATAAATTCATTAATATTCAAGTTAGTAAAGGAAGATAAAAAACTCCCAAATTTGGATCCTAAATGCTTCCTACAGACCAAAGAATATTATTTTCAGATGCTTTACACACCAAAAGTTTGGCAAGCTTTTGAGCCACGCTATGAGTTTCTCAGATGTTTAGGAAACGAAGCGGGATGTTTTTTCCTAATTTCAGAAATGAAAACCTTAGTTAATGGTATGCAAGTCAGAGAGGTTAATTAACCCGGACAAGTTTTTGCTAAATACATTTGAATCTATAAGGCAGGCCTGAATAATCACATGTATTCTCTATATTTTTGACTGCTTAAAACATCAGCTCTGGTCCCTGTCAATCTGAACGAGAAGCAAGAAGGAGAACTGGAAGGTGGTAGAGGCAGGCCAGTCTGTTAGACAGCCACGTCTTCATCTCAAATAAAATGCAACTACTTAAGGAATGCACTTTACGAGAGGAGGATGAACTAGCAGGTGTTAATTAGCCGGTGAGGCAGGAGGAGCGATAAAGCAGCAGCTGTACACTACTTTGGGATTCTCCCAAGCCAGAATCCACAGAAGAGGTGGCAGCTCACCTCGTCTGTCACTACAGTAGCATGTCCTGCTCAAAGAGCAGATGGCGCCGTGCCTGGCTTTCTGTTTGTATGGCGATCAAGTCTCCTGCACTGCGATCCCAAAACGCACCGGCGCTGGCTGTACGGAAAGGTGTTTAGGTGAACTGCTGCCATCAGAGCTTTCGTTCTGGGCTCCTCTAACCCACACAGGGACCTAAAGCAGCAGAGCTGGAATGGCTCAGCCGTTTCTACAGAGATTCTAGCTAGACCACTATGTAAGATTAAAAGCAATTCCCAGTTCATTTAATGTTTTCCTACAACAAAAGTAATGGAATTGTTCTTTTCCCCAAGGAATGATAAGTGTTATATCTCCCGATACAATGAACAGGCCCTTGTCCAGAAGGGCTCCAAGTTACCCAAAGCCATTGGCCAACAGAAAGAAATGCTGCTGGAAAGTCTCCTGGTTTCGAAAGGACTAGACCTCGTACAAAAAATAAAAATCAAAACAAAACCCAGAAAACAACAAAAGAAAGAAGTGTTCAACCTATTTGAGAGTACTGTCTCTTAAGCTGTTTTTCATGCTTTGACTCAAGAGTTGTAGAAATAAAACTGTCCTCCTCTGCTTCCCCATGGATGACACACCACGAGCGCTGGGCACACGCCAAGCAGCCCCGTGGCACATGATCCGTGCCTCAGTGAGCTGCAAGCTCGGAGATCGCCTTTCCCTGCGGTCACAGATTACTGAAGGGTAAAGCAGAGAGCCCGCTTAAGCACAGCGACAAAAACCTCTCGGCAAGTCCTATCCAGCTCCTACACACCCTCTGCTCGGCCGGCCTGCACACCCCAACTGCTGAAGGCTTACTTTCACAAGCGAGAGCCCCATTTTGGAGAAAAAAAACCTGCTCTGCACTTGCTTTCTGTTTTATGACAACTTACTTCAGAAAGACGCAGGTCGTTCAGGAACGTTTACCATCAACACCTGGCACAGAGAGTACCCACCACTGGTGGGATGCCTGCCAAACAGGCTGTTTTTCACCCACAGTGAAGCAGCTCCTAATTTGGCTCGACAATATCCATCCTTAATTACATTTGGAAAATGGAAGTGTATCAGCTGCAATCAGACTAACCTTTAAAACTACATAAAAAGATTTTTTTAAAATTAACACTAGACCTTAAGGGTTTACCAATGACCTGGGTAAAGTGCTACCCTCCCTACGTCGGACAGAGGCACACCACTGAGGATGTTTTACAACGCTTTAGAAGCAGTCACGTCCAACCCAAATACATTTAAAAATCCAGCATATAACCAGCCTTAAAAAAAGTAATTTTTAATAAAAATAGAGCACATTCTTAAAATATAAAGCATACAGTCTTGCATACTAAATGATGGTAAAGTCAAATTAATGCACAATATCATTCTCAAGGCAGGCAGCACAAGGCATTGTAATTATATAGCACATACTCAATATTCACAAAAACAAGTTTTCTTCCATAAGTGGTGCAAATATGCCAAACTCAATCTAGCCCAGAATTTAAACAAGAAACAAGGGTTTAAAGCCTTCCCATCCCCACACAGCCTCGTTACGAAGTGTCAAGTATCTTAACGAAAAAGAACATGCAAACACTCATCAAGAGGTCAGAAGAGCTACTGAGTTTGTGCGAGTTTGCGTAAGGTTTTGCCCTTCAGTTTCCAGGCTACTGGTTACTCCAACAACCCCTCCCTCGGCACCAGCTATTCTTCACATTTCATTTTATGAATTCCCTTTTAGTCACTGTCCTCCTTCTACCTGAGCCGGAGGTGTTGGCTTGCCGTTTAGGGTCATTTGCTGGGGCGGCAGGTGCCCTGGGGGTGGCACAGGTGTAGTTTTTAACTTCTTTGTGTCCACTTTTGAAGGATGCTCTTCCTCTTCCTCATCTGAATCTTGCAAGCCATACTTGGAAAAGTGTGCCACCTGTGTAATGAGAAGGGCAAATACATCATATCTTGGAAGAGAAAGTTTAGGCACCCATTTCTAAAAGGCCTGACCAACGAGCTGGCACAACCGTCCACCTTACACAGCAGCTGTGACACCTCAACAAATCCAGCCTTTGCCCAGACCAAGAACACCTCCTGTTTGCAGGTCTTGGGCCAGCCAAAAAAGTTTCAATCAGCTTGGTGGGGACATTTTGCACTACAGCTGAAGGACTTGAGACAGTTTACAGAAGTTTAGCAAGTTTTATTAAGTTCTCCAAAGATTGAAACTTCAGATTACTTCTGATATTCTTGTAAGTCACTTTACAACGAGAACAAAAACATTACCTTGAACACCCAAGATCCCGTCTCTGGGCGGTATTCCTTGAATCGAGCGCCCTGCTTCCGAGACACAGCCTCCAGCCTACCTTCATAATTCATCTCGGCCAGTCGTTCAGGGCTTTTTATCAGGCAGCGAGATGTTTTATCTGTAGGCCAGACTCCATCTAAAGTAACTTCAGCTCGTCTGTTAAAGACAAAGGTGTCTGTAGTAAGAGACTACAAGGTTTTGAGGCAAAGCTATCAAGGTACACGTATAGGGGCCGAGAACGGAACACGTGGCGTCACACCAGCTTTCAAACCCAATTTCTGGGTCAGAAACATGCAGGTATCTGGCAACTGTATACTGCCACAACCTGAATGCACCCCTCAGATTTAGATTTCTTGGTAGCTGCCTGCAAAGACAGTAGATTGTCAGTATTATAAAAAACATCCTTACCAGCCTCTGTCCCCACACAGCACGTATTTATAAAATTACCTATTTAAACCTTCACCAATCGGTGGTTTTCTTTCATCGTCAGGGTAAACAATAACTTCTTTTCTACGGATATGTACAATCTCATCCAGATTTAAGTTAGTTAGATTTACTTCTCCTTCAAAGTATATTGATCCATAACCTGAAAAGCAAAGGCAAACGTGACAATTTGTCCATGAAAAATCTCATACCAGAGAACCTACGTTCCTGCTCTACTCCTCCGTTCCCCGCCTTACCACCCCCACCTTTGTCAAGTCTCCAGAACAACACACAAGTGACGACTCCTTCCCAGTGTGAAAATACTGAAGATGTGTTATCAACGTTTTTATAACCGATCCTGGTGCACAGAAACCTTTTTGCTAAAGCTCTTGGTTATCACTTGGCTATTCTTATTGCTATCACAAACACTAAGCGTACCCTCAGCTTCACAGCACATTTAGAGAAAGTGTTTTGAAAATAGTATACACCATGTGATTGCTTTTTTTCTAAATAAGAGCAGTAAAGAATACAGTTTGCGCTGAAGGCTCTTCACTGGAGCTCAGCCAGCTCCAGCACAGGCCGCAACTAAGACAGAAGCAATGATGATCAGGTTTGCATTGATGCTCCAGCATGTCTGGATTTAAAAAATCTTTCTGTTTAAGGACAGCAAGTGTCTTAAAAGCTACAGGAGCTTTTGTTCTTTTCGTATTCAACCTTCTCAAGTCATCCCACAATACAGATTGTCAGTGCTACCAACGTGAAAGACCACAAGCCTTTGACGCGAGTTGCTCACAATGCAGGGGCACCGCCTGCGGTCATCCTGAAGGCATGGAACTCAGATGCAGGTTCCATAGTTCAAAGTGACTGCTTCAACTTCACGCAACTAGAAAAGCTGCCGGTGCTTACCTTTGCGGCCTATGGTGAAGTCTGTCACAATACATTCATTTCTGTCATTGGTAAATCTAGCTAGCTCCTCCATGGACGGGATGGTGTAATAGCCAGCTCTCGTCAGAACAATTCCTGCAACAGAAAGACCATTGAGACCTGCGCTGACAGCAAGTTCCCGACTTTCGCGTTTCAAGAGTTTCATTCCATTTCTTTTGCAAGCCTGGACAACTGAAGGTCCCAAACAAACTGAGAATCAGCGCAACAAAAGCAAACTGAGAATCAGCGCAACAAAAGCAAACTGAGAATCAGCGCAACAAAAGCAAACTGAGAATCAGCGCAACAAAAGCAAACTGAGAATCAGCGCAACAAAAGCAAACAGAAATCGAAACGCCTGATTTCCACAGCCTTCACAGCGAATTTAAGACAATTGCTACGCCAGGTTCTTCCAGCCTACCAACCTGTCATCATCAGGGATCAGCAGCAGATGTGTAGGTAAAAGGGAAAATGCAAACACATACCGCAACACATGACACACACTCTGCCAGCTTTAATTGACAAGCGGCTGAATATGAGCCGGCAGTGTGCCCAGGTGGCCAAAAAAGCCAACGGCATGCTGGCTTGTATTAGAAATAGCATGGCCAGCAGAAGTAGGGAGGTGATTGTGCCTCTGTACTCAGCACTGGTGAG